ATTAGCTAATTAATTGATTTATTATCCAATTAATTTGCTAATTAACCACAAATCATGAACTTCACCCACAAAGCTATCCAAGTGGCCGGTCCATCTCTATCCAAAGGAGTCGGCCAAACCCCTATATAAACATCCTCTTTCTCTCCAAAACCAAATTCTAATTCTCTTATTAAATTCTCTAAACAATTTTCCCTCAAAATTCTAACTTTGGCATCGGAGGTTCTTCGGTCAAAGCCCCCCACATTTATCGTGGGCGCGTGAGGCTCCTGACCTTGACCTAAGGTGTTATTTGTTTTGTAAGTGCAATTTTGTCAAAGAGCAAGGAGGAAGAAATTTACATCCACAACACACATGTGTTTTCATTAGGAAAATGCTACGGAGACCACCTTTTAAAATCATATTTATAAAGGACAAGGATTGTCTGCCATCCCACTTCCGGTGTCCTTCCGTGCCCTCCTGTTTGTGTGGTCACAGTTAAACCACGTCAACATTTTATATTACTATTCATTTTTGTCTTATTATCTCTATAAAAAAAATAATATAAAATGTTGAAGTGGCTTAACCGTGACCACACAAAATAGGAGGGAGGGTACCGGAAGTGTGAGGGCAGGCAATCCTTGTCCATTTATAAACCACTTGATTGTTGGATTTCTTTCTTAGTGATTTAAATAAGGAATTTAATTATCAACCACCACATCATGTAATCTACAAAATATGATCTCTATAACATATTACTCTATAAATTATTGCAAACGTATGTAGTGCACGTCAATTTTAATTTGTCTTATCTAAACAAAGAAACAAGTATTGGATGACAATTTTAATATTAAATGGAATTGGATTATCCAGCAAATCTTTGAAAATTATGGAACAAACCACCATCAGGATATGATAATTAATTAGCTAAGGCATGCACGATAATGGATAGTCTCTGCAAGTGGTTTATTCTTCTTTGACATGCTGTTATCTGGCGAGTCGGATTAGCATTTTCCTTGGTTTAATACCTAAATTAGAACATAACCTCTCCATAGATGTTGTTATGTGAAATGTAATTAGTATTATAATTGTTAACAGATGAACATGAAGAACTCAGAGAAAGATTAAATGAATGAGAAAGCAGAAAAGAAAGGAATTGATGAGAGAGATACTATTTGAGTGCATTACTTCTGAACGAATTACATGGATACTACTACAACTTTATATAGCTCTCATGGGCTTTCTTGTGTCTTAAGCTGGAGTTAACTGACTTAACAAACTCTTACAAACTCTAACAGCTACTAACAGCATTTCTAACAGACAATCTTCTGCTGATATGGTTTCTATCTTCAACAGTAATGAGTAGTGACTTGTGGTTAGATCAACAACAATTAATCATCACAGCCTGTTATGTACCGAATTGTGTTTAATACTTTGGCCATAGGAGACAGAGCCATTACTCTCCCACTCTAGTTTCATTCACCCTTGAATTCAGATAGGCCGCTGGACATGGGTTGAATATCACAAGGCTGTCTATGGCAGGACCTTGTATTTAATTTTCAGTCCCCAATAATTTCATATATGAGTACATATACGTACCCATATCAGGGAGCAAAGATTTTTAATTGTGAACAATACGGTATAGTTCACTTCATTTATTGGAGGTTAAAATCTTTAGTAGAGCGTTATCTTACTCCAAATGCAGAAGTTCCTCTTCGTTTGTAGTAGCTTTTCTACAAATTATGTGGTGAGGCTGCCTTATTGAAGATTTATCTTTTGTTATATGAATTTCAATGCGATTTGGAGATTTAGCTCGCCCGTCATGATTGTTGTCTCCCCACTGAAATTATTTAATTTGCTCAATTATATGAGATGAACATGTACCAGTATCTGTCAGGGTGTGTTTGGTATGTGGGACGAGACGGAACAAAGTGAGACGGACGCGTTCCATCCCACGTTTGGTGCACTTAAATTGTGTGGAACGCCTGTCCCACGGAACGAAAATGGGTTAAATTTTGGTTCCACATACCCCCCTGGAACGGGTTGTTCCATCCCGTGGAACACAAATTTATAATTTTTTGGACAACAATACCCCTCATCTTTTTCATTAATTCCACTGTCTCTCTCCCGTAGCCTCCCTCTCTTTGAATTCAATCCCAGTAAATCCATCTGAACCCAAACCATGGCTTCCGGTTCACTCCCTTCGTGCTCTACCTTCTTCTCCGGCGCCGTCACCTCCGCGCTCAACCTTCTTCTCTGGCGCCATCACCTCCGCGCTCCACCTTCTTCTCCCGGTGTCGTGCAGATCTGTTTTCGCACGAAGAGACTGACAGAGACGATGAGTTAAAGGCCGAGTTTTTGTGCCCTTTCTGCGCCGAGGATTTTGATGTCGTTGGGCTTTGCTGCCACATCAATGAGGAGCATCCGGTGGAGGCTAAGAACGGGGCATTTTGTTCAATTTCACCTTTTTTAGTTTAATTTTGTAAGTTTTACAGTAAAAATGGTTGTTTGAATACGAACTTTCAAGATTTCATTAGTTTTTCCCTAAAATAATAATTTGGGATTTTTCTGTGTCTGGTTTGAAGAGAAAGAAATTAAAAAAAAAGAGAAATATGGGTTTGAATTGAAGAGAAAGAAAATGAAATGAAGAGAAAGTATGGATTTGTTTTACTGAGATTGATTTTTACTGGGATCAATCTGGGCATGCGAAGAACACGAAACGGATGGAAGAAGAGAAAGCAGAGAAACGGGAGAGAGAGGGAGAGTCAAATAAAAAGGGTAAGTTAGTCATTTAACCCCGTTCCGTTTTGTTCCATCTTGCTAGTACCAAACATGACACGAAATATTTGTTCCGTCCCGTCCCGTCTGCGTACCAAATGGTACCTCAGGGAACAAAGGTTTTTACTTTATGAACAATACGGTATATTCACCTCATGTGTTGGAGGTTAAAATCTTTAGTAGAGCAGTATCTTGCTCCAAATGCAAAAGTTCTCCTTGTTGCTTGTAGAAGATTTTTTACAAGGGTAAAAAACTGTTTACTACCCTCATGTTTCGTGGTTTTCAACATTTAGTACATCAAGTTTTTTTTGTCTCAGAGTCATACCTAAAGTGTAAATTTTGGGACAGTCTTATACATCCGTTAGTCAAACTGTTAAGTCTCCTGTTAACTGTGACGTGGCGCCCATGTGGACACTGATTGGGCGCCACGTGTCATCCACGTTTTTTTTTTCTTCTTTCTTCTTCTTCTTCTTTTTCTTCTTACTACAATTTTTTTTTTTCATTCCTCCTTCTCCTTCTTCCTTCCTCCTTCTCCTTCTTCCTTTTTCTTCCTTCTCCTTCTTCTTCTTCTTCTTCCTCCGAATCTGGGGAAGATTTTTTTTTCTTCTTTCTTCTTCTTCCTCCTTCTTCCTTCTTCTTCTTCTTAAGAAGATTTTTTTTTCTTCTTCCTCCTTCTTCCTTCTCCTTCCTCCTTCTTCCTTCCTCCTCTTCTTCTTCTTCTTCTTCTTCCTCCGAATCTGGGTTGCAAATTCAGTTTTTTCTTTTTTTCTTTTTTCTTTTTTTTTTCTTCTTCCTCCTTCTTTCTTCTTCTTTCTCGGATTGCAACTTTTTTTTTCTTCCTCCTTCTCCTTCTTCCTTCCTCCTTCTTCTCCTTCTTCCTTCTTCTTCTTCTTCTTCTTCTTCTTCCTCCGAATCCGGGGAAGATTTTTTTTTTTTTCTTCCTCCTTCTTCCTTCTCCTTCCTCCGAATCTGGGAAAGATTTTTTTTTTTTTTTCTTCTTCCTCCTTCTTCTTCCTTCTTCTTACTCCGAGTGCAACTTTTTTTTTTCTTCCTCCTTCTTCTCCTTCTTCCTTCTTCCTTCCTCCTTCTTCCTTCCCATTCTTCTCTTTCTTCTTCTCCTTCTTCTCCTTCTTCTTCTTCCTCCGAATCTGGGGAAGATGAAGGTTTTTTTTAAATTTTTTTAATATATATATATATATATATTTTTTATATATATATTTATTTATTTTATAAATAATTTATTTTAAATTTCCACGTGGATGACACGTGGCGCCCAGTCAGTGTCCACATGGGCGCCACGTCACAGTTAACAAGAGACTTAACAGTTTGACTAACGGATGTATGAGACTGTCCCAAAAATTTACACTTTAGGTATGACGACGAAAAAAACTTGATGTACTAAATGTTAAAAACTACGAAACATGAGGGTAGTAAACAATTTTTTACCCTTTTTACAAATTATGCGGCCACAATTGCCATATTGAAGATTTATATTTTGTTATAGGAATTTCAACGGAATTTGGAGAGTTAGCTCGTCCGTCTCGATCTTTGAATTATTGAATTTGCTAAATTATATTTTTATCTCTATCTTCACATATATATATATATATGGGGTGTGATATCCACACACCTCTTTTTACTTCTCATACATTCTTCTAATTTTTGGTCGTCGGATCGGATGAATTAAAGAAAATCAACGGATAGAAACTAACAAATGATGTGTGGGAAGTAAAAATGAGTGTGTGAATAGCACATCCCTATATATATATAGGGATGTGCTATCCACATACTCATTTTTCACTTCTCACACACCTTTTGTTAAGTTTAGTCATTTGATCATTTTCAATTCATTCGATTTGAAGACCGAAAATTGAGAAGGGTGTGTGAAAAGTGAAAATGGATGTGTATATACTCTATATATATTAATGAAAAGAGCTTGAAAACTTTGATTTTTAAAGATAAGGACAAAATAAAAGGTAAAGTGAATAGTACTAGAATTGACTTTTTAGCGTAAAAATGTGGTTTTTCGTTAAAGTGAACAGTATCATGAGTTTTTCGTTAAAGTTCTATATGATCTGTTATATTAGACATGTCCAATCAATCCTTTTATTACCTACTATATTCTAAATTAATAACATAATCTGAGTGGAGGCAATTATTTCAGCTCAATTGTTAAGCATGTGTCTTATTTGTTGCTATAATGCGGTCACCTTCTCCGTCTATATAAGTGCAAGATTCCAATCAGTTTTATTCAAATAAGTACTCTATATATAGGCTAAATAACTCTACACTTCCTCCTATAATATTTGGAAAATACCCGTTTTTTGGTGAAAATGTCTAGCGATTGTGGTAAGCTGGAGACCGATGTTGAAATCAAGGCTTCTGCTGCCAAGTTCCATGAAATGTTCACACACAAACCACACCACATCTCCAACGCCAGCAATAGAAACATTCAGGGCTGTGACCTACATGAAGGTGACTGGGGAACCGTCGGATCTGTGGTCTACTGGAATTATTTCCATGGTAAGATCCTAACTACCTTGCTTCATTTAATATCGACTATAGTACTCTTTTATATATATGTACCACCCTAAAATACACAAGCGACATTTTTATACTAAATTTATCTAATTTATGAGGAGTGGATTTGAACTTACATTGTTCTAACCAAATTAACTAAGCTCAAGTTTGTGATATCATATTAATTACGTGAGATTTTCATGCATGCAGATGGAAAAGCCAAAGTTGCTAAGGAGTTGATTGAAGCCATAGACGCTGAAAATAATCTGATCACTTTCAAAGTGATTGAAGGAGATCTTATGGAGCATTACAAGAGCTTCAAGATCACCATCCACGGAACTCCGAAAGACGAGGGATGCAACGTGCACTGGACTATGGAGTATGAGAAGCACCATGACGATATTGAAGATCCACATACATTGCTCCAGTTTGTAGTTGAGCTCTCCAAAGATATTGATGCTCACCTTACAAGCACCGATGCAAAATAAACACAGAAGGCTTAAGGCTTAAGTATATGATCTGTGATTAATCTGTGTGCTGCAATCACGATCTATCTGCATGTGTGTGATTAATAAAAACATTTGATATGACGACTGTTTCGTTCGTATCAAATCACGTTTGTGTGTTTATATATATAAGATGTGCGTGGGCTAGGGTTACCTTATCGAACTTTTACTTATTGGTGTATGTCCTTTATTTCATGTGCTACCTCATCGAACTTTTACTTATTGGTGTATGTCCCTTATTTCATGTGATTATGTTATCTTCTGCAAAATTTGTGGCTTTTTTATGTACCCATCAGCATCAATCATAAATGCTATAATGGAAAAATTATATGGTTGTGTTTGGATCCAAATTTACACTATCGGCCTGTGCAATCAAGGCCGTTAGATGAGTAAAGTTCTAGACCGTTGGATGATAAAGTGGTTGAGATAATTTTCAATTATTATTAAGAACTAATATTGTGACTTTAAGCATAATATTATCTCTTAATTTATATTAGATTATCTAAGTCTAATATTGGCTGTATCCGGCTGGTTGTTTTAAGATAAGTGATGAGGCAAATCATCATATTTCCAACTTAGAAGTACAGTTCGAATGAGTTTGGAATGTTTGGTATGACTTACGCGGGAATGCAACTACGAATGGATTAGATTGCATTTTAAGTTAATGCATGTATTGGATAAAGGTGAATATGGTGCAGCAGAGGCCAACGATTTACAAAGAATCAATCCATCAGGACCAGGATCATGTATTGGATAAAGGTGATTTGATGGTGATCAGGGTCAGGGTTAGTTTGTGGTAATGGCTGCAATTGATTTGCAAATGGATAAGACAAGCATGAAAAAATGGAGATTTCTATGGTCTCCACGTGGAAGTTTACTACGAACACAAGAAGATTACCTGAAACGGTAGTTTTAAAGGCATGCATTTTAAGAACGTATGGAAAAAGGTCAGTCTATTGATTCGGCTAGCATTAGGGCATCAAGTATTATTTTGCTAGTCAGATTCTATTAAAGTGCATCGAATCAAAATTCAGCCACCATAAATACAGAGTCGCATGCAACATTGAGACCACCTTCAACTCAACACATAAATTGTCATGCGCAAACCCTCGCTCTACGCGAAACCTCTCAAACATCTTGAGATTTTTTATTTTCTTTTTCGCCAACACATCTTCAGTTTGGATAAACAGCACTGTGAAGGCAACCAGCGAACATTTTCAGTTTGGATAAATAGCACTGTTGCCGTAGAATCAGCTAACCGTGAAACACCTTCAGTTTGGATAAACAGCATTGCAACAGGGCCGACTGGTTATCTATCCAAGTCTCGGTCGAGAAGGATTTTCGAATCTTTATTGGCAGAGGTCATCTCATTAGCCTTTTCGGCGAAGTGTGGTGTTACAAATTATTACATTCGGCACATTGAAAGCCGAATTTGATATTGAATTTCGCAAAACTAGCAGCCTTGTCTTCAGGTTCTAGAACCCGAAGGCCGAAAGTGTTCCTTCCTCGGCCGCAGTCGCGAGATTTAGAAGTCAGCAGCGCACTTAACGCAACATTAACAAATTTTACTCCTAGGCCAAGCTCGGCCGACGAGTTGGCACGCCCGCAAACAATCGAATGACGTAGTTAGCTTACTAATTATTCGGCCTGCGCACCACGTAGGTTTACTAGTTTTTAGGGTCAACATTTTGGCACCCCCGGTGGGACCCATTGCTAAAACTACGAAGTTCACATGATAGATCAAAATTTCAACCGGGTTTCTTTGGAGATTTGGCGCCAAGTAAAGCATTGCTACAAGGAGAAAGCAAAACTCCTTGAGAAGTTGTCAAGAAGATGGGGGTTATTTTCCTCTCCAGCAACAATCAAAATTCGGCCTAGGAAAATTGTGAAGACGGCCGAAGAAGAACCTAGCACACTTGTTTGTTCGGTCGAGACTGAAAGTGTGGTAGGCCTAGAAGGAAATGTTCAAGTTTCTGAGCTAGAAATTGTCTCATAAAATGATTCGTCAGAGGAGTGTTCCAATGACGAATAAGACCGATACACGGCTTCAAACCATCAAATCACATCGATTGATATGGTAATTGAAGATATAGGCATAGCCGAAAAAATCACCCCAATTGATATGATTATTGGTGATAAAGCCGATATGGAGAAATCCCGTTCGGCTAAGTTGTTCGAGTTAAAAGCCGAAATTGGCAAAATTATTATGCCAGGGGGGCATAATAGGCATAATAATTGTTCAATACATTCAGCGGCCGATGATAAAAAATCTTTCGTCAAGTCGAACATATTTGCAGATGATCTTTTATTCGGCTTTGGAAAATCTCAAAGTGAAAACTTTGATGTAAAAAGATCTCGGTTTGGAATAAAGCATCGTTGGCCTCCTCCTGATTACGATTTAACCGTTTTCATTTTCTTTTGCTAAAAAAAAGAATAAATTATTTTCTTAACCATTCGGGCTTTTAAGCCGATGCATAAGAAAATCAAGGGGGCAACATTTGGGGCGGCAACCTAAAAGATGGGGTGCTCGGCTTAGATAGTTGTTTTTTAAATACATTAGCCGAGCCGATGAAGGTGTGTGCAGAAGGCCACCCGTCGTGGGAGCTCTTTTGGAGTCGAGTACCAAGCCAAATTCACACTCGGTTGAGGTATTTAAGGATCAAAGAGGATCGGGAGTTTGATAGCTGAGTTCATCAAATATATATATATATATATAATCACCTCAGTACCTTGCATCAAGAGTAAACGACTAGGATGTGCCATCTTTTGCCGAGACCATTCAATGCATGCATGTAGCGTTTTGGGGGTACTTCCTGTTCAATAATCGCGGCAGAGAAATTGCAGTGGTGTGTTCATCGAGCTCAACAATATTTTCGGTCTGTACATCTCGACCAAGAAAATTAGGAAAGCTAATCAACGACCACCACGTTTATTCGGCAAATAACAAGTGAGAATGAGTATAGAAGCTGCTTGGTAATATTTGATAGTCGGTGCAGAAGAGATAAAAATGAGGAATCTAGAAAAAATAAGGGTGCAGACTGTATGCTCGACGATCAAAACTTTAGTCTTGTCGAGACTACATATTATACATATAGTTATAGAGTTTTGATGTTGGACAGAAATCATGCATCATTTGTCGAGTGGCCGAATACAATTCTTTGTCTAAATAAAAGATTGGCGAGCTCGGCGAGAAGCATTGTGGGGCGTTTTGTTGGCCGAAGTTGGTTTGTCACGATTAGGGCCAAGTAGGATTATTTGCTGCATTGCTGGCTTAGTAGTATCACAATCATGATTGATGACAATGGGTTTAATATATATACTTATATATAGGCAGGCCGAGCTGCCAAGACAGATTGATTGTGGCAATCTAATCCTCACTCGGTACCTTTGGTTTCTGGAATCAAAGAAAACGAATAATGCTTTATCCAATAAAGCATTCAGGGATTCTTCAATTTGAAGTCAAGTATCAGACCAAGTATAAGTCTCAGGGTGCTGCTGTTAATTTGGTGGAGTTATGTTAGCCTAGCATGCCTTTGACTATTCAGTATAACAAGAATTGGAATGGTGGTGAACTGATTCAATTTGGTTTCGAGGCCCTCGGCCAGGACAACTGTTGTCTCTCGGCCGAGGCCTTGTCGTCGGGACCATGGCATGCAAAGATTTAGTGATGGAATTCATTTGATATTGTATTAGCTAAGAAAACCATGGCGCTGTTTGGGTGTGATTTGATTATTGCCGAGATATTTTTTTTTTCTAGAAACATGTCCAGTATTCGGCTTCAGTAGAACAAAATTTTTGTTGATTTAGTGGTGTGGATTCCGTCGTTTGCTCACCAATCAACGTCGTGGATTAGTAGTTCTTCTCCAAAAGTTATCTTCGGTCGTAATTCGGTCGTATAGCTTCAGGGGAATTTCATTGACAGCCATCCGTGATCATGTTTCACATGCAGAGACATACATTTTTCGAAAGTATTTCCACAAATGATTGAGAATGGATGACAGGCCAAGCTACCAAGAATCAAGAGGTCTCGGCATGCTTACTTAAAAAGATTAGCATTCGGTGGGGGATTTGTATATATGCCAATGCCACTTAGCATGGACGATAAGATTTGATGGTGCAATGGCTTACTGGTGATTCGTTTTCTCTGAGTTATTTTTCGTGCTCGACGAGCAAATATTGATTGAGAAAGATTATCTGCTGATTTGCTACATGCTTAATTCAACAAGGAAAGCCACATGTGTTGTAACATCAGGATTTTTTTTTTCTGCACCAAGTGGCTACTGAGGCTTGCCTTCGCCGTTTATTTCACCAAGCGAAGCTATATCTATATTGGTGGTAAATACTTTCCATGCCAAATAAGGGTGGTCAATAGTGGTGGTTAATATCGGCAATGTATTCTCAGGTTTTAATGTCCTTAGTCATATAGCTCGGCCGAATCTCACATACGACCAAGTCTTGTTGGTTGTTCAGTCTTTTGATTATTGGTGATGGTTGATCATTTAGATAGATTGCAACGGCCGACACCTTGTTGTATCGGCGGGCTTCTTTTGTTAACTTGAAACTTATACTCGGTGACAATCGAAGCCTCTGATTGGTGAAGCCGATAAAGTCGATATTCAACTGGGCGATAAATCACAATATGGGGATGAGTTAACGAGTGGGATATTATTTCCATATTATTTGGTTCCTTTGTTTCTAGCCAAGTGCATCGAATCAGAATTCAGCCACTATAAATACAAAGTCGCATGCAACATTGAGACCACCTCCAACTCAACACACAAACTGCCCTGCGCAAATCCTCGCTCTACAACCTCTCAAACATCTTGAGATTTTTTATTTTCTTTTTCGCCAACACATCTTTAGTTTGGATAAACAGCACTGTGAAGGCAACCGGCGAACATCTTCAGTTTGGATAAACAGCACTGTTGCCGTAGAATCAGCCGACCGTGAAGCAACTTCAGTTTGGATAAACAGCACTGCGACAAGGCCGATTGGTTATCTATCAAAGTCTCGGTCGAGAAGGATTTTCGAATCTTTATTGGCAGAGGTCATCTCATTAGCCTTTTCGGCGAAGTGGGGTGTTACAAATTATTACATTCGGCACATTGAAAGTCGAATTTGATATTGAACTTCGCAGAACTAGCAGCCTTGTCTTCAGGTTCTAGAACCCGAAGGCCGAGAGTGTTCCTTCCTCGGCCGCAATCGCAAGATTCAGAAGTCAGCAGCGCACTCAACGCAACATCAACAAATTTTACTCCTCTGCCGATGAGTTGGCACGCCCCCAAACAACCGAAATACGTACTTAGCTTAGTAATTACTCGGCCTGCGCGCCACGTAGGTTTAGTAGTTTTTAGGGTCAACAAGTTGATCAACCTCTTTTTCTTTTCTTTCAATTGTTTGATATAGTGAGGCGCGGATTCAGCCCCAAATCTGGGGTAGGGATGAGCCATTTAAGTGGGAGGATGGTTGTTTAAGAGTAGGTTAAAGGTAGGACATTTTGTAGGTTGGGATGGGCTGGAGCACATCCTAGCCACCCCTCGGTTTGGTGTGCATTGAAAAGTAGAGTTTTTGATACAATATTTACATTAAAAAATAGAGAAATAAATTGATATCAAACTCGCTTGCAAGCAAAAAGAAATATTATTAGACCGTAATACTATGTGGTATATATTAAAAAAATAGAGTTATGTTGTTTTTCATGGCCAGTCACATTGGTGATACTGTGGTTTGCAATTTCTCACAATTTTGCTCTTATTTCCAAATCGAAAGAAACTCTAAGCACAAAAAGATAGGTGCGTTTGTAAAACATTTTTTTTTAGGATGAAATGAAGCCGATGTAGAGACAAAGAGCCTACTCATCATCTCTTTCACCATCCTTTTCAGATTTGTAATCAGGGCATCACTTCATTAGTGATATGATCGTCAACGAGGCATCGGCTGGTCTTTAGCGATGCCTTGTGGTTCGCTAAGGACATGTCGTCGAGATTTGGCGGTGGGTGAGGTGGATCGAGGGACGGAGAGAGCGGATGGCGAGTGAGGACTGAGCAACCCAACTAAATAATATCGTAGTTTTGCATAGTACAACTAAGCGGGTGTAAGCTGTATAAAATTGGTAGAGCCAGATTATTTAATCCAATGACTATTTAATAAATACAGACACCAAACACCTGCTCCATCTTATTAGTCCTAACCAGTACTTTATACTACGTACCAAACGAGGCCTTATACTCACAAGTGTTTCTACAAGACATCCTTTTATTATAAACATGTCAAAACTTTTAACAAACCATGAAATCAACTTCTTGATTACAATGTACTAAAAAGAAAAACATTCCTGATATACAAGAAAATGGACCGGCCCAACAATTTAAGGCCTAGCCGGTCTAACAAATTTTTTTCGAGTCAGATGGGCGAACAATTTCAAAACCCATTTTCTAGATGCAAGCCTGGATCGGAAATTCTAAATTGGCCCTCAGATTGGTCAGGGCTACCAGACAACGGAATGGAGGACACTTACCTCGAGTCAGGAAAACTAACGAAAAGTTCAAAAAAATTTCCTTTTTAATGAAAAGCTATTTTTAAAGGTATAGTTAATAGTACTAGGAAAATGTATAAATGTGATTTTTCGTTAAAAGTGAACAGTACCGGCAGTGTTTTGTTAAATCTCCCAAATATTTTTCCTGAATTAAAAATTAGCAATAGTAGTCTTTTTTATGTATTAAAAAAATTAAAAGTTATCTTCAAAGGTGGAGTCTCAATAATTTTTCCAAAAATGTTAATCTTACGGGAGTAGGAGTTTCTCCCATTTTATTTCTCTCCTCTTTCCTCTCCTCATCTCATATTTTACTTTTTATCTTTTTGTCTCTATAAAAAATCAATATAAAATGTTGACGTGATTTAATCGTAATCATTCAAATAGGAGGGAAGGGAATGAGAGAGAGATTAGGAGGGGAGAGAATTCTCCTAATTGAAATGGAACTCATATGCGTTGACGAGCCCTACCTCTATTAGAGAGATGATACAAATTGTTGATGCATAAAATCAGTGAGGACTTTGGTACAACAGAAAGTGTTAAGTTTGTGACCTTCGCTAGATTGCTCCGGTCACTAGTGTGGATAAGTATGTAAATGAATAGAGACAGGGAAGCAAACACAAGATATACGTGGTTCACCCAAATTGGCTACGTCCACGGAGTAGGGGAGTTCTCATTAATTGTGAAGGGTTTACACAAGTACATAGATTCAAGCTCTCCTTTAGTGAGTACTAGTGAATGATTTAGTACAAATGACATTAAAAAATATTGTGAGAGAATGATATCTATTTATAGAAGAGAGTTTCTAGTTTCATTCTAACATTGACACGTGTCGTGTAGTGATTGACTTCTGATGTTGACACATGTTGCGCTATGATTGGCTTCTGATGTCGACACGTGTCGCGCTGTGATTGGCCTTCTGGTTGGAGGGAAACTCTTTTGGGTCTTTGACGGTATAACGTTGACCAGTACTCAGTAGTTTCAGGATTTGTCAAGTATGGTACAAATACAAATAATGTACAAATAAGTGATATGTTGTATAGAACCACCACGGGATGGCCTAGTGATTAGGAAAATTTTAGGTCCGTTTTTCACAAGGCACATCTTCAGCTCAATTTTTTACGCTAGTGAATCACGAAAGGTGGCCAGGGAAAGCTGAAATGTCTCTGAGTCTTCCCATCTTTGAAAGGGTGAACTACTATGGCGAAGCCACCAGCTTGCTCCTTTAAAAAAATAAAAAAAATAAAAGAATATATTCATAGGTTCCACATGGATCCGCTTTTTATACTGTTTCAGTCTCTTTCTTCGTTATATTTAAGAAAACAAAAAATGTTATCCTTATCATCTATTTGTACCATATTTCCAATAAAGATGAGACCCATATATGTTAGCAAACTCTACCTCTTGCTGTAGCACTACCCTAAAGGAAAAATACCTTTCCAAACAAATAAAGGAGAAGAATGAAGTGAGAAACCTCATTGCTGACAAATTCCTAGGTATACAAGCAAAAGACAAGAAGGCATGAAAACTTCCCTTCCAAATACTTACATAAAAATAATATTATTAATCTCTTAGAAGCATGTTAATATTGAGACTGTACCAAATAGGCTTTGTGGCGAATGGCTTGCAAACAATATTATGTATGGTTAAAATTTTATAGTATATTAATGTCTGTGATGCATTGTTGATTTCAATGTTGAATGTGCGATAAAGAATTTAATGTATAGTTTAGTAAGTAGATATGAATCACTTAAAATGCAAGGCCTATACATTGATGTACAAATACAATATGACTGCTAGAGATTAATAGATGAGTTGGTGATGACGACAACGTTGATGATCTTGCTTGCGGTGCGGACAAGTTGACAAGAACGTGTAATTTAGCAGCTTCCTTTTGCTTCCAACCTTGCTAGCTAACTCGGCTGCTTCACTTCCCAGTTTTTTCTGCTGCCTCTTTCAAAATCGCCAGACACTCGAAGCATAGGGCAGAGTAGTCAAACTATTTGCAGAGCTATGTCGTTATTGGAATAGAGATCGGAACGATTGGGCTTGGTTACTTGAATACCTAGCTAGCTACTTCACCATAGATTATAGAAGCTCAGCCTACAATCCACTATTGGCGTACTTATCAATCTGGCTAATGTCAAGGATTTTATCCATTCCACTTGCTATGAGGAATCTTCAAAGAAAACGAACCCTCAGTTGAATCAATCATTTAAGAACTATATTTTTCACCATTCTACGAATTTGCATACATGGCAGGGTGAACATCAAATGGAGCAACGGGATTACTTATCTAAAGGGTAATACTAGGAAGACTAAATTTGTAAACAAAATTTACAAACTAAATGATATGTCACCTGACACCAATAGAAATGAACATATTTATCAACGTTTAAGTAATAAAAGAACTCTTGTCATCGTTCGGCAACAGCCAGGTGCAGTTGATTGCATGTTTAGTGCAATGTTCGGATTGTGAATGCTCTGCCTAATGTGTACCCAACCATGCTGTCCATGTTCTTCATCCTATAGTTTTGCTCTGAAACATACAAGTTTTAATTAAAACATGAAGAAATGTTGCCATGGTTAACTCGATCAATTGCAAATTCAACTCTATTCTGTACAGCACCTGTACATGTGAGCATCAACTGCAGCAGCTGCAACATTTGAGTCTACCAATCGCTGACCCAACAATCGCCACACAAATCTAACTCCCACCCTTCAAGTCGTCCCTCCCAAAAGTCAATGTACATACTGTATAAAAAATTTGAGGATGTGGAGAGTTGTCGCATGTCAGTAAGTTAAATGAACTTTGCATGGACTTATAATTATTTGGGCTCAAAACAGTTACCTCAACGTACTCTCGGAACATTTCAATGGCCTCAACCGCTTTTTCTTTTGCATATCTAGGCTCAGAAACTCCGTCCATCCTTAGCTCTATGGACTCTGATGGTTCTTCAAGGTCTTTTATGATGCTTCCAACCCTTTGTCCCATCCTGCAAGCTTCAGGCGTACCATTTCGATGTTGATCTTTACCACCATGTAAGCCCCTATGAACAATTATTCAATCCCAAACACGATAAATAAGCTACAGTGGAATTTAAATTAGAACAAAATTAAGGAAGCAGAAACAGAACATGCAAAAACCACAATGCTAATTACCATCATCAAGGAAACGGTTCTCTTTAAGAGCACCACGTCCAGATGTTTCCATCATGAGATGAGTTTCAATGCCTGCCTTATTAAGCTGCCCTCCCTTATCAATCACTTTTCGATAACCAAGACGTTACAAGCAATGGTGACCTCCTCGATTCGTGATGAATCATGTAAGCACCATACTTGTGCGCGCATCGGTCACTATGGTGGTTCCGGGGTGTTCCCTCAATACAATAGCAGAAATCAAAGCAATCAGCTTGTCACCATGGATGGGGTTGCCTTTGTTATCCGCAATGCCACTGCGGTCCACATTTAATACAATCTCAAGATCAGCTTGGGAAGATGCAAAAAGTACCCGAATTGATCGAGGAAAAACACCTAGTTTTCAGATCATTGGATATGAGATAGGATAATGCTAGGAAAATAAAATTTACAAACTAAATAATGTGTCACCAATAGGAATGAACACGTTTATTAACACTTAAGTAACAATTCAATCATCAACTTTCATGTCATTTAGTTTCCAAAATTTTGTCTACAAACTTAGTTTTCTTAACATTACCCTATGAGATAATATCACAGGGAAAATGCTAGAGAGACTCAATTTATAGAAAAAATTTTAAAAACTAAATGACATGGAAGTTGATGATTGATTTATTACTTAAGCGTTGATAAACATACTAATTTCTATTAGTGACACATAATTTAGTTTGCAAATTTAGTTTCCCTAGCATTACCCATATCACGGGAAAGTACTATAACCCTTTCGAGAATCTAGATCCTCGTCGGATTCTCTTTGTGAGGATTTCGGGATCTGTCAATCCTATCATTTCATTGTACATTTGTTGACCCTAGAAATTACAAAGCCTACGTGGCGCGCAGGCCGAGTATTTTCTAAGCTAACTACGTCATTCGGTGATTGCGGGGCGTGCCAACTCGTCGGCCGAGCTCGGCCGAGGAGTAAATTTGATGATGTTGCGTTGAGCGCGCTGCTGACTTCTGTGTCTTGCGATTGCGGCCGAGGAAGGAACAATTCTCGGCCTCTTGGGTTCTAGAGCCTGAAGACAAGGCTGCTAATTTGCGAAGTTCAATCTCAAATTCGGCTGTCAATGTGCCGAATACAGTAACCTGGTAACACCTCACTTCGCCGAGAAGGCTGATGAGATGACCTCGACCAATAAGGATTCGGAAATCCTTCTTGACCGAGACTTGGATAGGTAACCAGTCGTCCTCGCCGTAGTGCTGTTGATGCCAACGGAAGATGCTGCGAGATCGGCTGATTCTACGGTGACAGAGCTATCTATGCCGACTTAAGATATCACCGGTTGCCTTCACAGTGCTGTTGATGCCAACGGAAGATGTGTCGGCGAAAAAAAGAGAAAATAAAAAATCTCAAGGTGTTGAGAAAGTTTGCGCAGGGCAGTTTTGTGTGTGTTGAGAGTCCCCTTGAATGATGCACAGCCTCCTCTATTTATAGCACTAGATACCTTTGAAGTCGAGTCAAAACCCTACTCGAACTAGGTCTTCTTCTCCGGATCAAAACACCCACTCGACCAGTCCTATGTTTTACTAGGATTGTGAGCCTAGTCCTCTATTGAGAGCCGGATTCACTTCCGGGTTATTACCCTTGCCGAGACTCCTTTATCGCGTTAGGACTCGACTAGTAAATGTAATATGACCTAGCCGACCTAGGTTTAGGAGCCCACACTAAATGATCCAAGGCTCCCCTGTCGCCAGGCCTCCCGGGCCGAGAGTGGTTCTATACTCGGCCCAACATGTTAATTTGAGCCCAAACACTCTTACTTGAGGATATAATTTGCATCATATCCATCCCGTTTAAGAATATGTCAAGATAATTCAAATTAAAAGATAATCATGATAAAAACCATAATATTATCTTTTAACAAAAATATTTTCACTTTTCCATCCGACGGCTGAGAACTATGTTTACTCTACGGTCTCGATTACACGGGCCGATGATGTAAATTTTGGGTCCAAACATTGCCCCCCAGTTTCCTTGAACTTCGGCTCGTAAGCCGAATGATTAAGGAAATTTAAGTATCTCCAGCCTAATCAGATGTACTTTTGACCGTCATCCCTTGCTGCTGTTTACTCACGGCTCCTTTCGACCAAAGAACAAACTCATGGCCGAAGATAAACAGTTATGAACCAGGGTCGAGAAGAATTGGAATTGGGGTCGAGGATAAATTTGGCCGAGGTCGAGAAGAGTCTTTTCTTGGCAGCTCGGCCTGCCTACATATATATGCATATCAAACCCATTGTCAGCAATCATGACTATATACATATATATATATATATATATATATATATAACCTCAAAACAGCAACCATGACTTATTCGGCCAAACTTTGACCCTAGCATCTTCCTGATTTAAATGGTTTTGAAACTTGTCCCCACACTTTAACCATAGGCATGGTACTATTGATAGCAGCGAAAATAACTCTTCTCGGGTCGGCTTGTTTGTCGAGCTCGGCTAAAAACAAAATGACCAAAATTTTGCCGAGCACACCACTTGTTGCCCCTCTTATTTTCTTAAGTATCGGTCAAGGGCCGAATGGTTAAGAAAATAATTTTTATTATATATAATTATATTTTTAGCAAACGAAAAAGAAAAGTGGCCGAAACGTAGTCAGGAGGAGGCCAACGATGCTTTATTCCAAGCCGAGATCTTTTTACATCAAAATTTTCACTTTGACATTTTCCTAAACCGAATAAAAGATCATCTCCCAATATTTCTGACTTGGTGAAATATTTTGCATTTTCGGCCGCCGAATGTGTGGAACAAGTATTATGCCCCCAGGCATAATTTCGGCGTTTAATTCAAACAACTTAGCCGAATAGGATTTCTCCATATCGACTTTATCGCCAATAATCATATCAATTGGCGTAGATTCTTGGGCTAGGCCAATATCTCGGCCTCGTTCGTCATTGGAGCACTCCTCTGACGAATCATTTTCTGAGTCGATTTGTGGCTCAGAAACTTTAACTTTTTCTTCTAGGCCTACCACACTTCCAGTCTCGACCGAAAAAATAGGTGGCCTAGGTTTTTCTTCGTGGCCGACCATATCTTCAGCCTCGACCGAAAAAATAGGTGGCCTTTGTTCTTCGGCCAAAATTAACAATTTTCTTAGGCCGATGTCTGATTACGGCCGGAGCGAAAAATTGCCCCCCGGCCTTTGAGCCTAACCATTTTTCAAATGGAATTGATCTGTAATCAGAAACGTAAGGAAAATTTTCTTCATCTAGCCAGGCATTAAATCGAGCCCTGTCTTCATTTACCCATTGCCTTTGCAGGGGTAACAGGAGCTTTTATTCTCAACATGCAAGCGAATGACTTTTGCATCTCTCTCCATGGCCACGAAGAACTTTTTCCACTTCCAAAGATCTTTTACATTCCTCATTGTGTTTTCTCAATTCCTCTAGGAGCTCGTACAATCGGCTACGTTGAGCCAGATTGGAATCTTGATATATCATATGAACTTCGTAGTATTAACACTGGGTCCCACTGGGCGTGCCAAAATGTTGACCCTAGAAATTACAAAGCCTACGTGGCGCGCAGGCCGAGTATTTTCTAAGCTAACTACGTCCTTCGGTGATTGCGGGGCGTGCCAACTCGTCGGCCGAGCTCGGCCGAGGAGTAAATTTGATGATGTTGCGTTGAGCGCGCTGCTGACTTCTGTGTCTTGCGATTGCGTGCGGCCGAGGAAGGAACAATTCTCGGCCTCTTGGGTTCTAGAGCCTGAAGACAAGGCTGCTAATTTGCGAAGTTCAATCTCAAATTCGGCTGTCAATGTGCCGAATACAGTAACCTGGTAACACCTCACTTCGCCGAGAAGGCTGATGAGATGACCTCGACCAATAAGGATTCGGAAATCCTTCTTGACCGAGACTTGGATAGGTAACCAGTCGTCCTCGCCGTAGTGCTGTTGATGCCAACGGAAGATGCTGCGAGATCGGCTGATTCTACGGTGACAGAGCTATCTATGCCGACTTAAGATATCACCGGTTGCCTTCACAGTGCTGTTGATGCCAACGGAAGATGTGTCGGCGAAAAAAAGAAAATAAAAAATCTCAAGGTGTTGAGAAAGTTTGCGCAGGGCAGTTTTGTGTGTGTTGGAGGTCCCCTTGAATGATGCACAGCCTCCTCTATTTATAGCACTAGATACCTTTGAAGTCGAGTCAAAACCCTACTCGAACTAGGTCTTCTTCTCCGGATCAAACACCCACTCGACCAGTCCTATGTTTACTAGGATTGTGAGCCTAGTCCTCTATTGAGCCGGATTCACTTCCGGGTTATTACCCTTGCCGAGACTCCTTATCGCGTTAGGACTCGACTAGTAAATGTAATATGACCTAGCCGACCTAGGTTTAGGAGCCCACACTAAATGATCCAAGGCTCCCCTGTCGCCAGGCCTCCCGGGCCGAGAGTGGTTCTATACTCGGCCCAACATGTTAATTTGAGCCCAAACACTCTTACTTGAGGATATAATTTGCATCATATCCATCCCGTTTAAGAATATGTCAAGATAATTCAAATTAAAAGATAATCATGATAAAAACCATAATATTATCTTTTAACAAAAATATTTTCACTTTTCCATCCGACGGCTGAGAACTATGTTTACTCTACGGTCTCGATTACACGGGCCGATGATGTAAATTTGGGTCCAAACAACATTATGCGGTCATAATTATTTTAAATATTTTTATTTAAAATTAAACATAAATAATACTTGACAAGAATAGACACAATTCATAAATCTCTTGGATCCTCGACAAAAGAATCCGGTGAGGATTTTGTTGGTTTTGATGAAGCTAAGTATGCATAGACCTTTTCCCCTTTCATGTGATACATGTGATTCTGTCAAGATTGTGTTTTCGTAAGACGATGTCTAAGAAAGTGACAGATGTCCTTTTTTTTTATATTTATATGTTTATCAAAACAAGGAAGCAAGTCTTCTATTGATAATCTAATCAAATAAAACGAACTTTAACAAAAATTTTCTGATACTATTTATTTTAATGAAAAATTATATTTTTATATTAAAAAGTAAATCCTAATACTTTTCACTTTACTCTTTATTTTTCTTTATTGTTAAAATTCAAAGTTTTCAAATTATTTTCATTATTTTTCTTTAAAATAAACTGTTATCCAGCAAATCTTTTAAAAACTATATGGAGCAAACCACCATCAGCATATGCTAATTAATTAGCCAAGGCATCGCAGGATAATGGAAAGACTCTGCAAGCAGTTTATCCTTTTGATATGCTATGACTTATTGGACGAGTCGGATTAGCATTTTCCTAGTTTAATAGCGAAATTAGCACGGATCCTCTGTATGTTGTTTTTTTTTTTTTTTTTAATTTTGGAAAAGTATAGATGTTATCATGTGAAATGTAATTTATATTGTAATGAGTAGTGACTTATGGTTAGATTAACAACAATCATCACAGCTCTAGTTTCATTCACCCTTGGATTCAGATAGGTAACTGGACATGGGGTCGATATTACCAGCATGTCCTTGGCAGAACCTCGTATTTTCGTATGAGATGAACATTTACCCGTATCTGTCAGGGACAAAAAATTTTACTTTGTGGCCAATACGGTATGTTCACCTCATGTTTTGGAGGTTAAAATTTTTGGTAGAGCAGTATCTTATTCCAAATGCGGAAGTTCTCCTTGTTGCTTGTAGAAGCTTTTCTACAAATTATGCGGTCACAACTGCCATATTGAAGATTTATATTCTGTTATAGGAATTTCAACTGTATTTGGAGAGTTAGCTCGTCCGTTACCATCTTTGAATTATTGAATTTACTAAAGGGAATTATTATCAGCATTTCAAAAATTTCATTTTGCACTCTAAACTTTCTATCATTAGAAAGAAAAATACATTTGAGAGGAGTATAGAATAAGATTTTTGGAGTACTAATAACAATTCATTTTGCAAAATTATATTATCTTATCTCTATCTTCAAATATATATATGAGGGGTGTGCTATCTACACATCATATTTCACTTCTCACACTATCTTATCTCTATCTTCAACTATTTATATATATATATATATATATGAGGGTTGTGCTATCTACGCATCATTTTTCACTTCTCACATATTCTTTTTAATTTTGTCATTTAATCTTCTTCAATTCATTCGATTTGAAAATCGAAAATTGAGAGAGATGTGTGAAAAATAAAAATGAGCGTGTATATATCCCACATTATATATGATATGTTATATTAGACATGTCCAATCAATCCTTTTATTACGTTCTATAATTTAAATCAATAACATAATCTGAGTGGAGGCAATTATTTCAGCTCACTTATTAAGCATGTGTTTTATTCGTTGCTATAATGCAGTCACCTTCTCCGCCTATATAAGGGACCTGATTTCTCTGTTCTTCCAGTTCTCGTACACTCACATTCATTTTTATTTGTGTGATCACGATTAAGCCACGTTAACATTTTATATCATTATTATTTTTTGTCTTATTATCTCTATAAAAAATCAATATAAAATGTTAACGTGGTTTAATCGTGATCGTACAAAATAGAAGATGATGAGAGTGTATGAAAACTGGGAGGGCAGACAACGCATGTTCCTATATAAGTGCAAGGTTCCAATCAGTTTTATTCAAATAAGAAGTACCCTATATATAGGCTATATAACTCTACACTCCTATAATATTTGGAAAATACCATTTTTTGGTGAAAATGTCTAGCGATTGTGGTAAGCTGAAGGGACAAGGATTGTTTGCCCTCTCATTTCTCGTGCCCTCCTGTGCCTTTCTGTTTGTATGGTCACGGTTAAATCACGTTAATATTTTATATTACTATTTATTTTTGTCTTATTATCTCTATAAAAAAAACAATATAAAATGTTGACGTGGCTTAACCATGACCATACAAAATAGGAGGGCACGGGAGGGCACGAGAAGTGGGAGGGTAAACTATCCTTGTCCAAGCTGGAGACCGTTGTTGAAATCAAGGCTTCCGCTGCCAAGTTCCATGAAATGTTCACACACAAACCACACCACATCTCCAATGCCAGCGACAGAATCATTCAGGCCTGTGACCTACATGAAGGTGATTGGGGAACCGTCGGATCTGTGGTCTACTGGAATTATTTCTATGGTAAAACCCTAACTACCTTGCTTCAATTAATATCGACTATAATACTCTTCAAGGGCAGAGTAAGGAATTTTTTCTTGAGTTGGCTAACTGAAATTAATGCCATAAAATCATACGTTTATTTTTTGCTTATATAAAATTATATGGTAATCAATATAAAAGAACAACAATAGAATATAAATTATTCTCAAAATCATAACCTAGCCGATTAATTCAAGGACCATATAAATAATTAACATATTAATTAAATCAAGAATAAGTAAATAAAGAGATTAAGAAAGTACCAAAGGTGACTCCATCGGAAAATCACAACGGAAAGTAAGGAATTGCAGAGATAGGGATTGACTTGTGGATTTAAAAAAAATGATTTTTTTTTCGAGTGAGAAGCACATAGGCTAAATCGCATAAGGTAAATGGTTTTTTTTTCTATTACACATAGGATAAAGGGGGACGGGAGATAAAACTAATTTATAATTTTTAGCATAAAACTTATTATTTATTACCTATCTTTTACTAAATATACATTAAATAATAACTTGTATTGAAATTGAATGGGCTATAAGCATGAGATTACAAAAGAATAGTGTTATTCATACCTATTTTTACTTCCAACACACCTTTATTAATTTTTTGCCATTGGTCATCTTCAATTCATTCTATTTGATAGCTGAAAATTGAGAGAAGTGTGTGAGAAGTAAAAATAAGTGCATGAATGACACTACCCTTACAGAAAACCTCCATGGGCTATATCCCACCTTAGTCTTGTGGGTGGCTCCATCATTGGTACTCTTTTATATATATGTACCATCCTAAAATACACAAGCAACATTTTATACTAAATTTATCTAATTTATAAATGGATTTGAACTTACATTGTTCTAGTCAACTTAACTAAGCTGCTTGTGATTTCATATTAATTATGTGAGTTTTTCATGTATACAGATGGAAAAGCCAAAGTTGCTAAGGACTTGGTTGAAGCCATAGATGCTGAAAATAATCTGATCACTTTCAAAGTGATTGAAGGAGATCTTTTGGAGCATTACAAGAGCTTCAAGTTCACCATCCACGCAACTCCGAAAGGCGAGGGATGCAACGTGCACTGGACTTTGGAGTATGAGAAGCACCACCACGACGATATTGAAGATCCACATACATTGCTCCAGTTATTAGTTGAGCTCTCCAAAGATATTGATGCTCACCTTACAAGCACCGACGCATAACAAGCACAGAAGGCTTACGGCTTTATTATATATGGTCTGTGATTAATCTGTGTGCTGCAATCACGATCTATCTGCATGTGTGTGATCAACAAAAATATTTGATATGATGGCTGTTTCGTTCGTATCAAATCATGTTTTTGTGTGTTTATATAAGATATGTATGCCCTTTATTTCATGGATTATGTTATCTTTTGCACACTTTGTGCGTTTATATAAGATTCTGTATGTCCTTTTTAGACTGCTAGATCGCCGTGGTTTGGCCAGAAAACGGCTCGAAAGTGGCTAACTCGAGACCAAGACAGCCACTTTCGAGCTTTTTTCCGCCCAAACCATGGTGTGTTAGCCTTCTAAAAAGGGATCATTCTCTTCGTCTCGTTGAGAAGTATGATTTTCGTTGTTGAATCACTTGATTTCGTTGAGTATTGAAGAAGTTATGAACGTTTAAAGTTTACCCAGTTTTTGGCGAGTTTTCAAGTTTTCACTCGGACCAGTCGACTTTGAAGCTATTTTCCAGCTATCTTCGGCAACCATTGGGCTTCGAAATAGGTATAATCTTATTCTACACTTTCCTATCTTCATTTTGATATATTATGAATCGAATTTGATTAAGAAATGATTGAGTTACGAAGCTTTGAAAATTGTCCAAACTTTCGGCCAAGAGCTCCGGGACACTTAACGGAGTTTTTAACGGAATGACCAAAATGATGGATAGTGGACAATCTCAGGGACCACTTTTATCGATTTGGAATCTCAGGGACCAAAGTGATAAGTTATGCAAATCTCAGGGACCATTTTGACGATTTAGCCTATGCTAAAATGAAAAAATTGTGTAGTTGATCATTGATCAACCTCTTTTTCTTTTCTTACAACTGTTTTATATAACGAGGGACGGATTCAGGACCAAATCTAGGGTATGTAGGGATGAGCCATATAAGTAGGAGGATAGTAGTTTAAGAGGGGGTAGAATTCTCTTCCCTTCTATTCTCATCCCCTTCTCTTCCTTCCTCTCGCAAAATGTTTTTTGTCTTTTTCTGGCTATTAAAAAATTAACACAAAACGTTTACGCGGTTTAACCATAACCATTCAAATATGAGGGGAGGGAAGGGGATGAAAACTAGGAGATGAGAGAATCCTACTCCGTTTAAGAGTAGGTTAAAGGTAGTGGGACTGTGGGAGAATAGTAGTTTACGAGTAGGTATAAGGTAGGTCATTTTGTAGTGCACACCCTGGCCACCCCTCGGTTTGGTGTGCAAAATATATTGAAAAATAGAGTTACATTAAAATGAAAGAATAAATCAGTATCAAACTTGCATGTAAAAAAAAAAATTCACTAGACACATAGTATTATTATGCGGCATATATTAAAAAATAGAGTAAGGTTGTTTTTTATGGCCAGTCACATTCATGGTGATACTGTGGTTTGGAATTTCATTTTTGGCAAGTACAAGTGTTTTTGCTAGAAATACTTGTATCAAAAACACGTTAAACTTTTAATTAGAAACCATGAAATTAACTTCCTGATTACAAAGTATTAAGGGGGCATTTTGATCTAAATGCTTGGTTTTTTAATTTTTTAGACCAAACATCTAGCTCGTTTGGATGTGCTTTTAAAATGACTGAAAGCGCTTTTGATGAAAATATTTTTGGAACCAATCCTTAGTAAAAATGCAAGTAAATCAGTAATGTGGTTCAAATTCACCTTTGGCGAGAACCAAACCTAAGACCCCTCACTTACAAAAAAAAGATATTGTTAATTTATGTCTCATTAATTCAAATGATTTCAAAAGAGAAAAAAACAATATTGCTAGCCACTTAGTATTACGATCTAATGTTATTCCTTTTCGCTTGTAAGTAAGAGGTCTTAGGTTCGTTTTGGCAAAAAACGAATTTAAACCATATTATTACTAGTTTATCCCCCTCCCCCCTCCCTTAGAGTAAATGATATCGTTTGTCCAACAAACAAAAAAAAACAGAAAAGACAATCAAATTTCAATAATAACAAAAAAAGGTTGAATTGTGGGTGCAAAAAAAGAATGCTTTTTTAACAAAAGAAAAATCAAACGGGTGATATTTTAAATGTACCAATGTACTCCAAATGATAATACATTACATACATGATATACATGTAGGTCCATATATTAAAAAATAGCTTACCAATACATTATTGGTACTTTATGTAATCTAAATTTGTGTACAAATTAGTATTTTGATATGTTATTTATTTTTTGTTTAGATACCTACCAATCTACTGGTACTTTTATATTATCAGAATTGGTATGTAAAAAGCTAATAGCAAGTTATATATAACCTAAAACCTTTCGGTATGTTATATTAAAAATAAATAAATAAAACCCTTCCTAATTTACAAGAAAATGGACCAGCCCAACAATTTTGAGCCTAGCTGGTCTAACAATATTTTTTCGAGTCCATGGCCCAACAATTTAAACAGAATTCAAAATAAGTGGCCAAATTCAAAGAACACAGGTTTCCATTTAAGAAACATGCGACTTCATCAATTTGAACAGAATTCAAAATAAGTGGCCAAAGCATTATAATTATTCAGCTAGTATTGAATAATGGATTCACCATATTTATAACTAACGAAATGCAATCAACCATCAAAATTGTATTCATTAAATAGTTAACCCTATATCTTTTGCTAATGAATATTCAAAGCATTTGGCGATAAAATAATAACAATGGAATAGATTAATCATCAATTAATTATCAACAAAAAATAATATTCATTAAGAATGGGGTTTCTGCAGCTCTAGATTTTGCAAATAATGATAAGTGCCGAAAGATGAGTGACTGGGTTATAAACAAAGGTTAATGGTCTAGCTTAGCAGATCAGTTTAGAGATTGTTAGTGTTTGTTAGTCTGTTAAGTATGTGCCATGAGAGCCAAGCAAGGTGATTAGTTGTTGTATAAATTGTTAACTCTCTCTCTGTTGAATAGTTAATTCATTCTTACAATTACAGAGCAACTATTATATCACTCTCTCTAAAATTCCTTTTCTCTTTTGTTTACTCTACATTTCTCAAATATTTCAACATAATTTGGGAAGTTCAAGTGTACCGGTTGATACTCCACAGCCGAGAAGGGAGACCAAGTTTGGGAGGTCTAGATTCTCAACTTCTCTGGGTCTGGTACTCCGCATCAATTATCATGAGAGAGAGGGAGATAGCGGGTATTCGTTGAGAGCGTTTGAGTACTGTATATTGGGACAAAACGAATTAGATACTTGGAATTAGATAAACATCTTACAATGGTGCAAACTGGAACTTGAACAAATCCAAAATAAAATGAAAATAATTACATAACATACGAATATCATAGTTTCTCAAATGGCATAGTCCACCTGCATATAAACATTTCCAAGTAAATTCATACCTCAATAAAAAGAGAATAGAATAAGCCATACTTCATACAATATCATGAATTAACTCAGAAAAAATTCTTTAACCCAGATTTTTAAAATTAAAATCACAAAAATTTGAACAACTAAAAGAGAACCCAAGAACTAAACCCTAACCAAAAATGTCAGAGAACTCACCACGAAACCCAAGCTTTCTGGGTTTAAAATTTCTTCAATAAGACCCAAAATTTCCCTTAATGGAATTCCAAAAAGCATTCTCCATCAGCATCAGGCATAACCCCACTTGCATGCGTCCCTTGCGAAAACTTCCCATTTGAAGTTGTTTCCAATTGATTGTCCACCATAAAATGTTTTAAATCATCTCTGGCATGCTGCAAATAGAACGGGATTGAACTTGGATTTTCCCAAAAATTCACCAAATCAAACCACAAAAAAAATAAATAAATAAAAAAAAACCACAAAAAAATTAATCGCAATAAACAAAGTGCACAATTTGTCGAAAGCAATAGATCCAACATTCATACAAATGAAATTCGACCATGAATTGAATAAAAAAAGTGAGAGAGAGAGAGAGAGGAACCTCAAGCGTATGGAACCCTACACATAAAAGCGGCAAAAAACGATGACAATTGCTTCCTCAAAATTAAAAAATTAAAAAAACCAAATCATATACCCAAACGAAAAATCCAAACACATAAACAAAACCCCAAAAATTAATTAAGATATGCAAACAAAATAAGACCCACAAAAATTTAAACTTTTGTTCAAGAAAAGATTTAAGAGGAAAAACATAAATTATATACCTTAATCAGAACGGGCATGCAAACTTCTATACAAAACCCCTAAAATTCAATCAGCAACGTTTCCTGAAGAAAAAAAATGAAATCATATCAAACAACTACATCACCAAAAAGAATAGCAAAATACTCAATGCAAAAGGCCAAGGCCTGTGTGGTTGTTTTTCTGTGTTCAAATAGAACATGAGAGAACAAAGATCAACAACAACAGAAACCAACAGAGGTAATAGGGAGATAGAGAGCAAAGAAAACAAAAACCACAAAACCCAAACAATCGAACGGAAATCGGAGGAGAAAGAATGAAAAGCAACAGAAGCAAAAAGAGTGAAAAGCAGGGGAAGATGCCAGAAGATGCAGCGATGGTCGACAGGTGGAGCAGAAGGGCATAATCGTCCTTTCACTGTACATAAGTTGAAACAAAGCGCTACCAACTAAAAAATATGAGGGCATTTTCGACATTTTACTGTTATAGAACAATAACTCTTGAATTTGGGTTTTAGTATATATAAATTTTCCAGATGTAAGCCTTGGTCTGGGCTACCAGACAATGGAATGGAGGACTCTCACCTCGGGAGGCAGATTATGTGCCCTTCCATTCATATGCCCTCCTGTTTTGTGTGGTCACGGTTAAGTTACGTCAACATTTTATATTTTTTTATAGTAATAATAAGATAAAAAGAAATAGTAATATAAAATGTTGACGTAGCTTAACCGTGACCACACAAACATGAAGACACGGGAGGTGAAAGAGCAAAGAATCTGCCTCCCTCACCTCGAGTTATCCAAACTATATTTACTGAATTAAAAATTAGAATTGTATAAAAAATATTAAAAGTTAATCTTCAAATGTTGCCCCTCAATAATTTTCTCATCAGTGTTACGTACGTTACAATTTGCAATTTCATATGATTAGATTCTTAGGTGCCAAATGGATCCGTTTTCTATACTGTTTCAGTCTCTTTCTTTGGTATATAATTAAGCAAAAAATACTTTCGAAACAAATAAAGAAGAGGAATGAAGTGAGAAACTTCACCGCTGACAAATTCCAACTAGCCGGCTTACCAGCAAAGACAAAAAGGCATGAAAACTACGTTTCCAAATACAACGTAAAAATAATATTATTAATCTCTTGGAGCATGTTAATATTGAGATTGTACCAATTAGGCTTTGTGGCGAATATCTTGCAAACAAAAGTATGTATGTTTTATAATATATTATTGTATAACATGCATTGCTAATTTTAACGGTTGGATGTGCGCTAAAGAATAGTATGTATGTTTTATACGTGTAGTTTGAAAAATATATATAAGTCAACTAAAATGCAAAGTATCTTATACATCGATGTGCAAATAAGATATGACGCCTAGAGATTAATAGAGGAGGTGATAGTGACGACGACGTTGATGATCTTGCTTGCGGTGCGGACAAGTTGACTAGAACGTGTAATTTAGCAGCTTCCTTTTTAGTGCCAACCTTGCCCGCTAGCTAGGCTGCTTCACTTCCCAGTTTTTTCTTCGGCCTCTTTCAAAATCTCCAGACACTCGAAGCATAGCGCAGAGTATAGTCAAACTATTTGCAGAGCTCTGTCGTTATTGGCATCAGAGATTGGAACCATTGGGCTTGGTTGCCGGTGGATAAGACGACGCCTGCCAGCAGTTTAACAAGGCTTTTATTGTAAGCACGACGATGACAAGGGAAGAGACGAGGATGCCCTCGCCCTTGCTCTTGCCCTTGACGTCAATTGAAGAAGAATTAGAAGCTGCTTTTGATGACGATGATGATGATGAAAGTCTGTTTTCCATTGATTTTAATTTTAACTTCAAGGATAGTTTTAAGGATAGTTTTAAGGAAAAGGAAGAGGCCGTTCCTAATTATTATCACGTAGCTGTTGGGGGGCAGAAGAGCGAGTCTAGCATGGATGCGCTTCTCTGGGCACTGAGTCACACGGCGGTGACTCATGATCATGATCAATCTTCAGTAATACTAGTCCTCGTCCATGTCTTTGCACCGATCCGATACGTTCCTTCTCCTTGTAAGTTCAGTTAATCTAATTCAATTTCTCATCATTATTTGTGTTTGTGTTTGCGCGTGTCTTCGTCAACGCGCCCGCCGGTGAGTTGGAGCAAGGTCAAATTTGGAAGGCTTGTTTGTAAGCCGTTTTGTTCATTAAACCTTTTGGTTTTCTTTTATTGGAAACACGTCGAAATTGTTAGTAAATGTTTAATTGCTCAAGTTTTAGAGATCTTGAAACATTTAAAGATTTTTTGTCAAACAAAATAAAAATCGTTTTTGGTTGTTAAAAAACGAATAGAACATTTATTGAAACAGTCCCAAATTGTAAGAGTCTAATACATTGAACCTGGATGATGTATAGTCTATGTCATGACTCATACTTTTCATCTATATTATCGTATATGCATAATATATATATCTTTTTTCTTTTTATAATTTAGTACAATATAATTTTCAAAGTTGAAGGTACGGGGTTGACATATCTCATAAAGCATATATATAAATTGTACGAGTTGTTGATTTGAGTTGAATCCATCAAAGCCTTACACTAACTACAGGAGTTCAACACAAATTTCAGATTAACCTGATTTTCTAGCTGTAAAGACGATTTGGGATTTGTTTTAACTTTAATCTTTGAAGAAGATTAAAATTTAATAAAAATCTTGTGTTAGATTGAATATTGATTTTAGTCATCTAATATGTACTTAATTCAAATTCATATTATATTTAATAGATATTACATTAAAATTAAAATGTATTATTATACACATTTTAATTATTTTATTTTATTTTATTTCATCTAATTAGTGTACCTAAACGTCCGTATCATTATATATTTTACTAAATTAGTGTACCAAAATATCCATACCTAAATATATTGTAGTGAATTAGTGGAACATAAGAAAATATGCAAAAACATAAGTGTACCGAAAAATTGTGTACCTAAATATATATACTAAACTAGTGTACCGAAATGTCAATACCTAAATATATTATAATAAACTAGTGTACCAAAATGTCTGCACCTAAACATATTATACTAACCTAGTATACCGAAATGTTCGTACCTAAATATATTGTAATGAATTAGTGGTACATAAGAAAATATGCAAAAACATAAGTGTACCAAAAAATCTCTACGAAAATATTTTCTTACAAAAGATACTTACCATAATGGGAATTAAAATTTATAATATTTTCATACAATTTAATTTATGAACACCATAAAATTATAAATAAAAAAGAGAGACATTTAATACATATGCTGAAATTAAATAGAGTCTAGAGACTAAAATCAATTTTTAATCTTGTATAAGACATTTTTTTTAAACTTCATCTTAATTAAGGATTAAAATCTAGTTTTCTATTTTATTTTATTTTTTTGTTTGACAAAAGCTGTAAAGACGATTAACATTAGGGTTATGACTGCATTGAATTAACTAACTGATTTTTTTAACGTATATATATTAATTCATGATTAGTGAGAGATGTTTCTGTTTGTCTTGGTTCTTCTGATATGCAGTAGGAATGCTTCCAAAAAATAGTGTGAATACAATTATGATGGAGAATTGGATGGCCCTAGAAAGAGACAGAAGGAGGAAACTCCTTGACAAATACGTTGATGCCTGCTCATCTGCCAAGGTATTACCAGATTTCCGAAGTACAGACACTCTATGGTTATTTAATTACAAGTTTATTAGTACTAATTAACCTCTGTATGACGATTAATATGATGTTAACGGAACAGGTTAAGACGGAGATTATGCTTATTGAGAGTGATACAGTTGCCAAGGCAATCCTAGAACTTATTCCTACTCAAAACATAAGAAACCTAGTAGTTGGAACCACCAAATCTAGTCTGAGGAAACTGAGGTCCAAGAAAGGGAGTGGAATAGGAAGTCAGATCCTACAAAATGCGCCCGAAACAAGCTGCAATATTAAGATCATATGCAAGGGAAAGGAAGTGATTGATGACACTCTGTTTACTGGCTCGACTTCCTCGCGTAGCAGTAACGCGAACTCCTTGTCCACGCAAGATGAAGACGACCATCAAGAACAACGAATCTCAACAGATTATAATAAACATGAGTACTCGCGTCCTGAAGCGAAATCTCCATCATCTTTAAATGGATACAAGGAAATGTGGTGGGGGAAATCAAAATCTTCACAAATAACAGCTTGATTTTGTTGTGTGATGATTTTGGCATGATGAGATTGGCATGTATATTTTCTGTGAATATGAAAGATAAATCGACATGGCACGCATTGTAAGTTGCACATTTATACATTATACATAAGTTTTGTAACCTAATTCATCTACTTGTATACCTAGCTAGCTACTTCATCATAGATTATAGCAGCTCAGCCTACAATTCCACTCTTAGCGTACTTCACAATTACAAATTTAGTAGCGAACCGCAACGAGTACAGAAAGCTAAGGTTTGTGTAGGATGTTTTGGTTGCTGGCTTTGAGGAGAAGGATGTTTTTTGAGCAATGGTTTGCAAAGAAATTGTTGAAGAAGTTGAAGTGGAAGCCATATTGGTTAAATTAAAGAAATTTCAGATTAGTGTTCAATTTGGCGACCTTGGTTCTTTTGTTCAAATGCTTGTTTTGAAGAGGGGGATTTTTGGACCAAACAAACAAGTTTGGAAGATAAGGTATCTCAATAATCTATTACCCTACATTTCAATATCTATACAAAACTTGGAAGAAAAAATAATATCTTTGACCAAAATTCCAAATGCCCATATATATTTGCTTGTTTTATTTAAGGCAAGGCTTCTTAGTCAAAATAGTCCCGGAGATTTGCATAACACATCACTTTGGTCCCTGAACTTGTCCACCATCCATTATTTTGGTCCTTCCGATAAAAACTCTGTTAAGTGTCCCGGAGCTCTTGGCTGGAAGTTTGGGAAATTTTCAAAGCTTTGTAACACAATCGTTTCTTAACTAAATTCGACCCATAATATATCAAAATGAAGATAGAAAATATAGAACAACATTATATCTATTTGAAAGCCCAATGGTTGCTGGAGATGGCCGGAAAATAGCCTAAAAGGTGACTGGTTCGCCGGAAAACTGAAAAACTCGTCGGAAACTGGGTGAACTTTAAATGTTCATAACTTCTTTAATACTCAACGAAATCGAGTGATTCAAAAACAAAAATCATACTTCTCAACAGGACAAAGAGAATGGTACCTTTCTCAACGGATAATTCATTATGCTTTGGCCGAAAAACGGCTCAAAAGTGGCTAACTCGAGACCAAGACATCCACCAAGATTTAGCCAGCAAGAAAGGTACCATTCACTTTGTCTCATCGAGAAGTATGATTTTCATTTTGGAATCACTTGATTTCGTTGAGTATTGAGGAAGTTACGAACGTTTAAAGTTTACCCAGTTCTGGCAAGTTTTCCAGTTTTCCCACTGACTAGTCACTTATCAGGCTATTTTCCAGCCATCTTTGGCAACCATTGGGCTTCTAAATAGATACAATCTTGTTCTATACTTTTCTATCTTCATTTTTATATATTATAGGTCGAATTTGGTTAATAAACGATTGAGTTACGAAGTTTTAAAAATTGCCCAAACTTTCGATCAAGAGCTATGGGACACTTAACAGAGTTTTTAACAGAATGACCAAAATAATGGATGGTGGACAATCTCAGGGACCATTTCTATTGATTTTCAATTTCAAGGACCAAAGTGATGTGTTATGCAAATCTCAGGGACCATTTCTATTGATTTTCAATCTCAGGGACCAAAGTCATGTGTTATGCAAATCTTAGAGACCATTTTGGCTAAAAAGCCTTAAGGCAATGCCCCTTCTTCAAGATGTGCTATAGATGATGATTCTCTCCAAGTCCATAAGAAGCAAAGGTATAAACGTAGGGTTTGGGGGAAACTGGTGAACCGGAACAGACCGGTCTAAATCAATTGCTTGTTGAGGAAAAATAGTTAAAAGAGAAAATTAGAATCCCCTACAGTTTTTCTATATCATTTAAATTAAACATATGTGCCTTTTTAAAATTTGATTAAAGTGTTTTGACCAATAGTCACCTCAAGCTAAATTACATGTCATTATTATATTTTTTTTAAATTAAAACAAATTTTGAATTTATCATTTTATCTACATGATGTAATTTTCCTTATTTAGTGGAGATATTAGTAATTAAACTATATTTTCTCTTCTTTCATATATGTTTTTTCGATAACAGTTTTTTTTTTTTTTTTTTTTTGTGTTATGCAAACATTTAATATTATTTCTTTTTCCAAAGGTTGTTTTTCTTTCAAATAGTTGGTTATCAACATACAAGCTTCGTGTAATTTTTTCAATTTTTTTGTGAAATTATATATATATATTGTTTGCTGTTTTTTTAAGTATAGTTGTTGACGATTTATTATTAGTTACAATACATTACGTATATATTATTTGCTGGTACGTTTGAATTTACAAAAATCATTAATTGGTACGTTTATTTGCAATTTTGGTACATTTGATTTGATACATATTGTTAATATTGGTACATTATTTTTATTTTGGTACGTTTATATTATTCTCAATCCTATTTTCTCTTAACATACTAAAAGAAAAACTTATTTTGGTACGTTTGATTTTGTGGGATTTAAAAATATTTTAAACTATTTTGGAAAGAAAATATCTTAAATCGTAGATAATTATTGCTAAATTGTAGCATTATTGTGAAAATAAATTGAATCTAACCAACTTTTTTTTTTTTTTTTTTACAATTATCTCTGAAGGAAGAGAGTGTAATCAAAATGCTAGATTATAGGAAATTTGTTACGATATAATGTGCATATAGCACCAAAATTATGACAAAAAAATGTTTAATCAAATCACTAAAAGACATGGATGTTTGATCTAAAAAATTCAAAACTGAGGCGCCTATATCAAAAGATCCCTAGTTAAAACCTCCAAAAGCAAAACCAGACTAGCTAAACATTGTAGAAGCTTATGATTCTGTGAGAGAAAGGATAAAGGTAGAGAGAGAGAGATAGAGGATTCTAGAAAGAGAAGTGTATTGATTGAATGAATTGATCTTACCGTCTGAAAGAATACAATATCATATAAATAGGTACAATTAGCTTAACAGCTAAGTAAAGTAAAACCTTCATGCTTTGTCCTAGCATGAAATACAAGATTGAAGGCCAGTGCAATTGCACTTTTATTATCACAGAAAATCGCAGGAGTTTTGAGAAGAGGAAAGGAAAGATTCTGCAATACTTGACAAACCTAACTAAGTTCAGCAGCTGTATCAGCTATAGACCTGTACTCGGCTTCAGTAGACGATCAATAGAGCCATCGGGTTTATGTTTGAGTCGAAAGACCCACTTGCAACCAACCAAGTTCAAATGAGACTGAAACGGAACCAATTCCCAAGTGTCTGTGGATTTCAATGCTTGAAACTCATCCTTCATAGCTTGCATCCAGTTGGGATTTTTTGAAGCTTGTAAAAAGGTTGTAGGTGTGGAAGGAAGACAAGCAATAGAATCAACAGAGGCTGGAAGGGAATGTTTTGTAGCTGTGAAGACCTTTGGTTTGTGAATTCCAGCCTTTGCTCTCGTAATCATAGGGTGCGAATTAGGTAGAGCAGGGGCAGGTACAGTAACAGATGGCAAACAGGGAGGGGACTGATGAGAAGTAGCAGTTGTGGACGCATTACTGTCAGGTACAGAAGAGGCTTGATGTGGTGATGAACCAGCAGGACTAGTAAGCTGTGAAGTACTCGGTGAAGTGCTTGTTGAAGAGGAAACAGGAATAGTGACAGTAATAGGAGAAGAGCTGAGAGGTGAAGTACGCTGGGGTAAAGTAGAGGCAGAGAACAAGCCTTGCTTAAAAGGGAACAGGTGTTCATCAAAAGTAACATGCCGTGAGATATACACTTTGTTAGCCACAGGATCAAAGCAGCGATAGCCACAATGATTGAGACTATAGCCGAGGAAAACACACAACTTGCTCTTCGGATCAAGTTTAGTTGACGAATAGGGCTGCAGCCATGGGTAGCACGCACAACCAAAGGCTTTGAGAGTGTGATACTGAGGGACAACATTGAAAAGCTTTTCCCAAGGGCTATTAGAAGATGCTTGAGGAGGCAGTCTATTTATAATGTAGGCAGCCGTCTGAAAAGCCTCAACCCAGAATTTTGGTGCCATTCCACTCTGAAAGAGAAGAGTCCGACCCATTTCAACAACATGCATGTGCTTCATTTCTGCACAGCCGTTTTGTTCAGGTGTATGCGGACAACTTAACTGATGTGTAATACCCTGTTCATTGAGAAAAGTCTGAAAATTCTTGCTTAAGAACTCACCCCCTGAATCTGACCTGAGACATTGGATCTTGCAAGAAAAGAAATTTGTAACTTTGAGAACAAAAGTCTTGAAAGTGGAGTAAACATCGGACTTATAAACCATAGGATAAAGCCAGCTGTATTTAGTGTAGTCATCTACCAAAATGAGGTAATACTTGAAACCAGTACATGAAAGAGTGGGAGAATGACCCCAAACATCTGTATGCAGTAAGTGAAAAGGCCTAGTGGAAGTACAAGGCAAAGTAGAAAATGGTAATCTAGATGCCTTCCCTATCTTACAATCAGGACAAATGGACCCTGAATTGACAGAACCAATAACAGGTAGCTGATGTTTATGGACAACATTATGTAAAACTAAGCTCGATGGGTGACCGAGTCTTTTATGCCAGAGATGAACATCTGCCTTAGCTATCATCAATGCCGTAGGCGAGAGAGCAATTCCTGAGGTTTTATTGGATGCAGTCCAGTAGAAAGGATATAAGCCGCCTTCACAGAGGCCCTGGAAAAGCATCTTCCCAGTTCTTAGGTCCTTGATATAGAACCCAAAAGGATCAAAAGTTAGAGAAGCCCAATTGTCATAGACAAATTTGTAAACTGATAACAGATTATGGGATGCTTTGGGAACCAACAACACATCATTGAGCTTAAATGTAGCATTGGAAGTACGAATTAAGGCAGATCCAGTACGAGAAATATACAGACCTTTACCATTACCAACAAACAGCTGATCACTGCCATTGTAGGGAATTGCAGAATTAAGAGATGATGGATCAGGTGTCACATGATGAGAGGCTCCACTATCAGTCAACCAATAGCTCGGTGGAGGAGAAGACGCAGCCGTCATGCCAACATGAGGTCCATGATTTGATCTTTGAGATGCAAACTGAATGAGCTTCTCACAGTTGAGAGCTTCATGACCAAATTTGAGACATAATTGGCACTGAAGAGAGCGGCCAGAAAAGGAATTGTTGAAATGCTGACCAGAGAATGTGGATCTGGAATTAGGACCAGGACCAAGAAGACTGCCAGAAGTGTTGTTGTAATGACGATTGCCTCCAAAATTGCGATTCGAATTGTAGCGATTTTTGTTCTGAAATCGACCACGGGAATTACCTCTGAAATTGTTGGAACCAGAAAAACCAGGTTGAGCCGTATAAGCATGAAACGGTGCTGAAGAAGAAGACGGTTCTCTGGTTTTGCGTTTCTGAAGAGAAATCTCTTTACTCGGGAGTAATCCATGCAGCTCATCAGGATTGACAAAGTCGGATCGTGTTTCAATAGAATCAATAAATGAGTCATACTCAGTGGAGAGACCAGAAAGAATGTAGGCCACAAGATCTGAGTCAGAAATCGGTTCGCCAGCCGCGGCAAGTTTATCAGAGATTTCCTGAAGAGAGTTGAGGTAATCAGTCATTGAAGAGTCTCTTTTTTGGATAGTCTGAATCTTCGAACGAAGGCTGTGAATGTGAGTACGAGATGCACAAGAAAACCGACGTTCGAGAGAGTGTCAGAGAGATCTGGAATCGTCCATGCCAACCGTCAATGGAAGGAGATCTTCAGATAATGTTGAATTAATCCAAATCATCAGGATTTGATCACGATCGCACCAAGTCTCAAATGCGGGATTAGAAACTTGAGATCCAGACGAATCAGTCACAAATGGAGGAGGACACACATCAGTTCCATTGACAAGCCCTAAAAGCTTGAATCGTTTTAGAACAGGAAGAAAGAGACTACGCCAAGTGATGTAGTTGTGGCGAGTGAGCTTCGTTGCAACCATGCCAGTGATATTCTGAACAGTGATCGAAGAAAGAGACGGATTGGACGCATTGGGCGCGACATTAGAACCAGAAGAACCAGCCGGAGAAGAAGGATCCGCAGAATTCACACTAGTCGCCATCAGAGAAGCAAGATTGGAGAAGAAATTTTAAGAAATTGAAGAAGTTCAGGCAGATAAGATCTGTTTGGGAGAAGAGAAAGGGTGAGAAAATTCAAGAAGACGGAAGCGGTGGATCTAGGTCGTTAGACACCGGCTTTGATACCATGTAGAAGCTTATGATTCTGTGAGAGAAAGGATAAAGGTAGAGAGAGAGAGAGAGAGAGAGAGGATTCTAGAAAGAGAAGTGTATTGATTGAATGAATTGATCTTACCGTCTGAAAGAATACAATATCATATAAATAGGTACAATTAGCTTAACAACTAAGTAAAGTAAAACCTTTAATTACATATAGGTTCTATTATATTCCTAACAAACATGGCTCAATTCACAATTCTTAACTAGTTGAATGTGAACCACAACGAGTTAAAACAAATTGAACCAAACAAACCGTTGAATCTCTCATCATAAAACTTTTCATGTTGTGGCAGTTTGGCCTCATCATAAGCTTCTTAAAATTCATGCTAGACGTTTCAGAAACGTTTGAGCCATTGGAAAATTGTGATAATTGAGGCCAGAATTTGGTCCTTGCCAATAATTTTTCTTCGGTTTTTTTAGTTTGCAGCTTAAAAATTCAATGGAAGGTGCTCATATGGCTTAATAAAAGATTTGACCAGTTCCAAAATCCTTGTAACATTTTCCTCATTTGTCCACACAAAAAGAAAAATTATTTTAGTTACATGATTCATATAATTTCACATGGAAGAGAATACATTAAACAAAGGGAAAACACAAGTTACACAAGAGAGCAAATAAATTATGTTGTACCTAGACTCCTGCTAAACCTTTAGAACCAGGAAGGTTGATCCACTCAATCTGCAGCACGATTTCGCCACACTCGACGTTTCGCAGTTTGAGAATCATGTCCTGAACAATCTTGCCATTTTCCCAAACGCAACAGCTCTCGGTGGAGAGGCAGTTGGTCCTGTTGGGCTGAACTTTCTTGAGGGCGCAGCCCTTCGGGAGGGCGTCCGCGTCTAACCCCATCTTCAGACACTCGACGTAGGGTTTGATGTCTATGTCTGCATCACCCATCTTGTCGTCCACGGTTAACGTGTCTTTGTCGTACACTTGTAGATGGATCGGTTCTTCCAAGTTGGTGATCGAAAGCGTCAGCTCCTCGTTCCACTCAGGGTTGCAGTTCCTTTTTATCACTTTCGTCTTCAGTTTCTGCGATCCCATGGTGAGCGTCAGGTAGGGATCACTCGTCTTGACGTCGCGGATGGCAAGGTTGACTCCTCGCTTGATACGAAGCCTGAGAAGTCCGAGGATGTTGTTCATCGTAATTTATCGAAACAATAACGATAATAACTTTCTGGTTTTTCTAGTTCTGGATTATTAGATATGTAGGAGGATGCATGGAATGGAAAAAATGTGGGCTGAGGAACTCAGGTATATAAAATGATAAGACGGTCACTTTTTGAAGGGCAAGGAAGTGGTGCAAATGTCAATAGGGCAACCATTCACAGAAAGACCACACAATAACCGATCACCACTCAATCGACTTTAGGGATGGAAGTGGTCCGCCGCCCTTGTCGCTTTGCCACCCCTAATTTATGTGAGGCACTATTGGGTTTTGGATAGGACCGGGCTATGGTTTTGTGTACACTTGGGTTTGGATTGACCCATCCACCTTTTCAATTGGATCACGGGCCTGGGTCGGCTCGGTTGGGGGAAACAATATAGGCTTAAAGGGATCACACGACCCTTCTCAAGTTGCAGTTTTGTATTAAGAAATAGAGTGGTTCGTTGTACACTCAAGTTTTGTTACAGTCACATATAGAATAAAGAATTATGTCATCACCGGAAATTGTTAAATTAAAAAGAAAGCCTTCTTAATTAGTACAAGGAAAATGGGTAATCGATGAAAGTTGGGGTTTAGCCTGAAAAGAAAACCTTCATAATTATTGTAGGGTTTAGCTTGCAAAAAGATGGGATTCCAACCGTAAAACAAATTTGTAATAGGGAGAATCTTCATGTGGGATTCATACTCACAACACATCACATTAGATATGTCTTTTAGAAAGCACTTCAAGTCCATAAGTAGTTTTATTAAAACTTTCGACATGCTTCCAAAAGAAGAAACACTTAAAAGAAAAAACGCTAATAAGCAAAAAGTGTTATCTGAAAAAGCATTTCTAATTGAGACTCTAATTTGCATGAGGAGGGTTCAAATTAGATTTCAAATGAATATGTCGTTACTCTGATCAACTAACTTAATATAAATAAAGGAGTTTCGAACTAGAGTGGAAAAAGGTTGGCTTCATTATACTTTGAAGTCTGAAGAGTCACGTGGAAATTGTTCAAGACGTGTGGAAAAAGTCGAGATGTTAACCCATGCATGCATTCTCTTCCTCAGAGGGACCACGTATACGGTATGCTATTTACTAATTTACTATGTTGTATGCACATCCACGGTGCCTTTAAATTATCTTATGTTGTGATGTCGCCGTTTTAGCAACGTCGAGGAAATATCTGATCAAATCCATCCTACCTCACATCTATCCTACCTCAGTTATGTTTCATATACGCATATATATAATCTCAACTCAATGCAATTTTGTGGCATGATCAATGCGTTTACTTCCTTAATCCATGCATCCAAATGCACGCACTACCAATATGCATAGAATATGCTTTACTTGCTTTTGTGATTACTCTACTTCAAAGGAATTCAGATCCTTTATGTATCACGACGTTTAGGCCGAGAATTTTGAACCATTGAAGAGAGAGATCTAAATTTTTTGCTTATATGAGGTGGGCTAGTAGAATGAGACTAGTGAGGACCTTACGATTTACAATGAGTGAACCGAATCTTCAGGTCCATCAACTCCAACGACAGCAATTTAAAAAATATCTGGATTCCTTCAAAAGGGACCCAAAAACTCTGAAATTTCATGGACTTGGATTGTCTGCCCTCTAATTGTGGTGCCCTCCCCGTGCCCTCCTGTTTTTGTGGTCACGGTTAAGCCACGTCAACATTTTATATTACTATTTTTTTTTGTTTTATTATTTTTATAAAAAAATAATATAAAATATTAACGTGGCTTAACCGTGACCACACAAAACAGGAGGGCACGGGGAGGGCACCGAAATGGGAGGGCAGACAATCCAAGTCCAAATTTCATGGATCCTTTTTAGCTTTATGTCCTTTGGTCTGCCACGCACCATAGATATCACAGGCTATTAGTTGGAAAAAAAATTGAGAAGAAATTTTAAGCATCTACTTTTTGGCTGAGATGACTGGATTATGCTCTTGAACTTGACCAGCCAACTTCCAAGCTAACAAATGGCTAAATAATCTGAGTCCAATCTTATATTTATTTATTTTGTTTATTGTCACGAGAGAAACACTTAAAAAAATACACCATTTACCAAAAATTACACACTGATAAAAAAAGTTTAAATAGTCATCAGACAATCATAAAGTACATGATCACTCATCTTGGATAATTGAATGTGTTTTTAGTGTTTCGATCTCTACCTTTAATATTAGACTCAACAATGGATTACTCTAAATTATTGATCACCAAATGACCAGAAACAAAGATTTTGTACACCTAAATTTCACTCTAAAACAAATGCCACTTGATCATGTTAAGTCTTTATTTAGTTGGGGTCGAAACAGATTATGCTTTTTTTTATTAACAACGAGGCATAAGCTCGATAGAAGAGAAAATATTACACAGGAATATCCTCATGCCACAAGACCCAGCTATATTTGCAACTAGTAATCGACGATTAGGAAGAACTTGCTGAAGAAAATACTGGATCCAAACTGCATGACAAATCAAAACAAGCTAAATCATCAACAACAATAAAAAAAATTCACAAGACCAATTTTAATACATAAGAGCACGATAGAATCCGATTCACTATAACTTCACTGTATAAAATCTTAACTCGACCAATATTAACACAAAAGCCAAAGACACATGATCCGACGAGATTATGCTTTTTATGTCAAATGTAACAGCCCGTCCCACCTAATGTCCCAAACAAATTAGTATTAAACACAACAAATCAGCATCCCTCTCTCTCTTACCAACCAAGGCACGCTGGCGGGTTTTCCGGCATTCAAAAGTAAGCATTTTTCTATAGGAATATATAATAATGTCATTTTCCTATACAAATACCAGATCCAGGAATTTCTCTCTAATTAGACCAACAAACGCAGTTTTTATTTTTAGAACTAAACTGATTCTCCTAATGAAGCGGAGTGAAAAGCCGATACATGTTGGTTGGTTCAAAATAGTGTTTAAAATGTCAACATATAAATTTATGAAAATATCCATAATATATCAAACATCAATTGTTGATGAAAATTATGAAATTTGTCATAAAATGGATTATCAATTCATCAGTTTTAGTCTAAATTAAATAAATAATTTTCAAAAAAATTCAAAATTTTGAAATCCAAGCTGGGTTGTGACAAAAATTTTAAAATAAATCGATAAATGTCTTTGATATTTAATAATTGAGATGAAATTTATATTTCACCTCTTTTTAATATCGATCTTGAATGGGAGAGATTTTTTAGTGTGATCAGCAACGAGATGATACATTACGTGTCACTATACAAATGATGAGATATGTGTGTTAAAAAATTAGTAACTTAAAAAATAAAATTTTTCACCACTTATATAAAAACACGTTATACCACTATGTCACAATTAAAAATTTATCCTTGAAGGGTATATACTTTTACTAATTAACAGCAGTGAAAAACTGACAGGTACGAAGACGCGCCAACCAGAAGAGGAGGAAGCGGTAAATCAGGGGAAGTTGGTGGCAGTGAAATTTACCCCAACCGGCCCTAACATTTCCAGAACGAAATAAGCAATATAAAAGCAGGGGGCTCCTCTTCGCATAATTTCATCTCAAAAAACTCAAAGCGAAACAGAGGATTTGATTCGAGAGAGAGCCGCCGCGAAACCCTAACCCTAAATTCCCAATTTTCTTCCCCCTTTCGATCGGATTTCCTGTTTCTGTTCCGATTGATCCTCTCCAGAAACTCACGGTGTTCTTCCCTTTCTCAAAACTTCATCACGATTCGAAGCAAGCAAGTTGTTGATGGTAGAAATCTTAAGCGGCAGTAATTTCATGCGCTCCCTGAAACAATCAAGGGCGAGCGCTATTCTCCCGATCTCAGCCGCGTCCGCATTCGCTTTCGGCTCCTGCAAGGAAGGCTGGTACTACCGCTGCCTCGGCGTCGACCCGTAAATCTACGTCCAGAGCTCTCTCTCCCTCTATCTTCCTCTTTCTCATCGTCCGTTTTCGATTATCGCACCCGGATTTTCACTAATCGTCGCCGCCGTCCGTCGATTTTTTGATTATTTTGTTGAATTGAATCAGTAACTTGTTGGGAAAGAGGGAACTCTGAAAGAAAAAAAAAAACAAATTTAGATTTTCTGTTGGCTGGCTTTTTGCTGTTCGATTGATTGATTTGATTTTGATTACGAAACGACCAAGATGTTGCTGTACAAGCAGAAGAAGAACCAGAGCACCGCCAAGGGCAACAGGCTCTTGATCAGCATCACTGTGCTCGGCAGTGCCGGCCCGATCCGCTTTGTTGTCAATGAGCAGGAGGTCATCGCCGCGGTCATGGACACCGCCTTGAAATCCTATGCGCGTGAGGGCCGCTTCCCGGTTCTCGGCTCCGATCTCAATGACTTCCTGCTCTACTGCCCCGCCGTAGGACCTGAAGGTAACCAATCCTTAATCACTTTTGAATTCACCAATCTAATCACTTAAAAATTCCTGTTCTTGATTCATGTCAACCCAATTTTAAGAATTGAATCTTACCCTTTATTTCTTACCATTCCAATTTCAAAACCCGTATCTCAGTATTGACATAAATTTATGAAATTGAATAGTATCACGGTGTTCTTAGTTGAAATTGGTTCTGTGTTTATGCATTCTTTTTCAACGTGATTCTCCGTGATTGAATTCTGGTCGCGTTTGTAAATTTGATTGCAGCTCTGAGCCTGTGGGACACAATCGGAGCGCAAGGAGCTCGTAACTTTATGCTGTGCAAGAAGCCTCAGCCAGTGAAGATGGAGAAGGATGAGATACCAGCAGCTGCAATTACTCGCAAGGGTAGTGGGAGCTGGAAGGCATGGATCAATAAGTCCCTCAATCTCAAGGTCTCTTCCCACTAAATTAATTTCTCAGTTAACGGGGAAAAAAGGAGAGCAATTTGTGGTTTGTCTAGCTTTTGTTTGAGTTATTTGGTGTCTTTGTTCATTAGTTGCAGAGTCATCGTTTCTGGCTGCAACCTGTTTTTTTCCGTCAAGTTTTTGTTTTTCGAATAAATTACAGCTTGGTTGTAATGTTTTGTTTCTTTCATTTCCTTCAGTGTGCATTAGATGAAACTTTGATTTGGTTCGGTTGCATTAATCAATGGTAGTTCTTTTTTTCGTGATTAAAACGATTGTTGTAGCTGGGGCAGTCTGT